AGTAATTTCTCTCGGTTACATTGCCCTTGATCAAGCCCTACCAGACCTCCTACACCCTCCTTGCCACCAATTTTGAATCACTTGTTGTTCCTTTGTCCCTGGGTTTGTTAATACCCACTCCCTTTGCCCCCAAATCCCCCTCTCCCATGTTGCCCGGAACCATCGGTCCCATCGTTTTCTCCTCTAGATTGTTTATCCTGCCAATCTTATCTAGATAGACCTGAAGAGATAATATTATGCACAAAAAGCAAGACAGAGCAAAACAAAGCAACAAAAAAATCAACGACAAAAAAAAAAAAGGAAGGAAAATCCTGTCAATAGTTCAAGGTTTGTTTGTTGACCTTTAGGAGTGTTTTCTAGTGGAGTCTGATAGGGTGCCACGCCTTGGCCCCAAAGTCTGTTTTTGGTATTCCCTGGGGACTTCATTGCTCTGCTCCTCTTGCTGTTCTGTTGCATGCCCTTAGTGTTTCGTCTCAGTGTGGTGTGATCAGATCGTGTGCAGTTCTTGCACTGTTTCTCCAGTGTTGTCCACCATAGCACTATGGGTCAGCGAGGGACATAGTGTCTCAAAATGGGGCCGACCCTATGGTCCTCTCTGTGCTTTGTCTGCTCTGAGCAGGAATGTCTTCCTCAGGGCTTGGTGGGCTAGGATGTGTTCCACACTCTCTTCCTTCCCCTTCATTTGCTCCTATGTGCTCTGATCAGACATGACCCTCTCCTAGAGCTGTAGCTTCAGTGCTGTCCTCTGAAGTGAATTCTTCTGAGGGGAGGGGGGCTATCTCCTCAGACCTCTCTTTTGGTTCCCTGCTTCATGTTGGTATGTTGCAGTCATGTCTTGGAAGACCAGGTTGAAATCTGGTCCCTCTTTCCCTGTGGAGATATAAAAAAATACCCTCTCCTTGGGTGGGTTAGTGTCCTGTTCCCCAACTACCCATCTCTCTTTTTTTTCTTTTTGTTTCCCCCCCTCCTTTTTATTTGGCTACCATATGTATCCCTGGTATGTATCCCTGATAGTGTGGCCCCTGACATACTACCTGGACCTCACCCCAGGAATGTTTGTACACAGTAGCTTTTTCCCTATGCCCCTTTTACATTTTTAAGCTTACCTCAAGGGACTCATGTTGTACTTGTCCTTTTGTGATTGACTTACTTCGCTTAGCATAATTTCCTCCAGTTCTTCTTATGTGGCAATGTGCTTCATGCACTCATCACTGATTTTGGGGGATGCATAGTACTCCATTGTATATATGCACCACAGTTTTTTAATCTATTTAATCTATTCATCTATTGATGGAAATTCGGGTTGTTTCCAACTCCTTGCAATTGCGAACTGCGCTGCGAAGAGCACTGCAGCACAGATGTCTGCCCATGGTTTCTTTCCTGCCTCTTCTGGGTACATGCCCAGTAAGGGGATTGCTGGGTCGTATGGTAGCTCAATTTCCATCGGTTTTAGATATCACCAAAGCGATTTCCATAGTGGCTGTACATACCTACAGTTCCAGCTCTTGCTCCTTTTCAAAGCATGTTCTGGAAAGAGGGTTTCTATTCTTGGGATCTGCCACAGCTAAGTATTCAACTTCAGAGGTGCCCCTTATACTACAGAAGAGCAAAGTGACATCTTGAGGGGCTATTAAGTCTGTGCCAGCTCATCCAGGCGTGAAAAGTAGGACTCGTCTCAGAACAGAAAACAGGGCTTTGGCTCCCCAGTCAGCAGGCCTTGCCTGCACTCCCTCTTCTTTGGGAATTTAGTACTTGATTTTTAGTCAGTTCCTATACATTGACAGAGGCTTTGACACCTGTGGGCTCACAATAAGTGTTCACAAGCTCACAGTAAAGATGTGCTGAAAAGTTCTGTAAATGGGGGAATCTGAATGTTCTAATGGCTCCAAATTGTGAAGTCATGTACCATGTTGTC